CGGTGTTGATGGGTGTAATCTCCTGATCACCACCCTGAGCGTTCTCTCTTGGCGTAGCTGATATGTATGGTAATCCGCCTTAGTGTCAGATAAATACTTGACAATTTTTCTGTACGTATCTGGGGTGTCAGGCATTAATTTCGTGTCATTAGTGCGGCTTTGGCATAAGTATTTACCTGAGCCCACTATATTATTTAATTGTAGACACATTAATTGAAAATTTTTTATATTTCTAACGAATATTGGTGGGGGTTTAGGTTCACTAGGGATGGGTACTGCTTCCATTTGTTCATTCTGTGTGTTTGACAGCACTTGGAATGGATTAGCTGTAAAAAAGGGCGATTCCTCTAACGTTCCTTGTAATGGTATAGCTTGTGTTGACATATTTTGTGATGATGTGCCAGGTTGATTTTCAACTTCGTCAACTGAGCTCTCTGGTGTAGCTGGCGGGGTATTTTTTTTAGAGCGTCTAGCCCTTTTCTTGATAGGTGAACTCTTTGTGGTATCGAGACTCCTAGATCTTAAAGTTCGATTGCTACCTTTGCTCGACATTACCATGTGAAAATATGTTAATTAATTAGAGGTAAATGTAATAATTTGTAAAAAAAAAGTCCTTTATCAATTACGTATATATTACGCGAGTTTGTAGAATTCTGAGTAACGTAGATGTGCTTCCGCCGAAGGGCAGCAGCCCACTGGTCGGATTAGCGAATGTATATGGCCGGCTTGTTATCTATCACTATCCTCAGGTCTATTTACACTGTTCACAATGCCGTTATAAATAAGTGATTACTCACCTTATTTATGTCCAGTTTCAACTTAATTGTTAACTTAACAGTTCACACTACTTTTTCACATATAATATGAATTATTTCACTGATAATAAAGTCACTTTATAAGAGACGAAATAAAGAGTGTATGTGTAGGGTTAACGCATGCGCAGAACTGCTTAAAATTAGTCCTGGAGAAATTTGTTTAAAATAATATTTGAGTAATCGATAAATAGACCAAAAAAAATATTTTTGAAATGTTTTATTTTATCATTTTACTAAACTTTTTCAACATTTATAAATCTTATTTCTGAAATTACTATTTCGTCAAATAATTTTATGCTGAATTAATAACTTTGAAATGAAGTTCATATAAATAAATTTTAGTCTTTCAAGAGTTTTCATTGAGCTAAAATCGAGTTAGTTATATTGAACCAGTTCAGAGCCATATCGGAGGCAAAGTATTTATCAAATTACAATATTTTTTTCATATCTAAAAATAATATATATTTTTACAAATCCTTTAAAAAAAATATGTTTCGAAACAAAATTAGTAGAAACGTAGATGCTACTTATGGTAATGTACTATTGTATGTTAAAATTGAAATTAAAAAGTTTCATGCACTCCTGTTTTTAGGATAATTAAGATTACCAAATTTTTGTATTTATGGTTTTAAACATTTTAGAAATAGAATTGTTTAATATTTTAGTGAATTAGTTTATTTTTAAAATAAAAAATAGTGAAAGAGATAATTAAAATAAGATAACTATTTAAATAGCAGGAATTGCCATTTCTTCAATAATTTTCCTTATCGAACCCGCTGGAACAGAACTGGAACGCTTCTGCTGACTGTTCTTCCGTTCCTTATCGATACAGCTGGAACAGAATTGGAACTGATCTGGAACGAATTGCCAACCGTTCCTCCCCATTCCTTATCGATCAAGCTGGAACGGAATTGGAACTGGTCTGGAACGATTCGCCAACTGTTCCTCTCCACTCCTTATCGATCCAGCTGGAACGGAATTGGAACTGGTCTGGAACGATTCTTCAACTGTTCCTCCCCACTCCTTATCGATCCAGCTGGAACGGAATTGGAACTGGTCTGGAACGATTCGCCAACTGTTCCTCCCCACTCCTTATCGATCCAGCTGGAACGGAATTGGAACTGGTCTGGAACGATTTGCCAACTGTTCCTCCCCACTCCTTATTGATCCAGCTGGAACGGAATTGAAACTGGTCTGGAATGATTCGCCAACTGTTCTTCCGTTCCTTATCGAACCGGCATCCCCACTCCTTACCAAAGCGGCGGTATCGATCATTTTCAGTCGTTGGAACAGTGAGATTAGGTTCCCGTTTCCGATCCAGTTCCATTGACCCATCCCTACTGGCTGTGAATCACAGAACCATTTTGCTGACAGTTGTATGCAATGTTTAAATTTCAAGTTAGCCTTGACGTGAGTTTTCTTCGATCAATTTTGTCGTGATAATCCAGGAGTTTTGGTGTGTGAATGCTCCTGACAATTTTTGTTACATTTGTGGGGAAACAACTAATGGAAAGTCAAAAACATCATTTCACCCAGATGATCAAGACAGCATATAACAAGTATTTTGGGGTGAAGGTTGTTGACTAAGATAAACCGTGGGCCCCGTACTTCTGCATCACATGTAGCGAAACCTTAAGAAAATGGTTGAACAAAAAAGGTCGTTTTGCTGTTCCCATGGTGTGGAGGGAGCCTACTAATCACACTGACAACTGCTACTTTTCTATGGCCCCTCCTCTTCATCATGGAATGTCTCGAAAAAAGAAATCTGAAGTGAAGTACCCTGACATTCCTTCTGCTATACGACCAATACCACACGGGGACGTACCACAAGGCCTCCTGAACAATGACTCCAATGAGAACGAGGATAAAGAAGAGGGAAATCCCCTAGGAGGAAAACCATCAGATGATTCGCATGATTAAGCAATCTTCATCAAACCACGATTTGTTGTTCTTATTTTCCTTTTTTCCTAGACATGAATCACTGACCGCTTTAATATTATCTCTGATCTCTACCCATAACTTGTCAATATCTTTGCGATCCTCGTCAGAAAGTTCGAAAGCTTTAAACCTATTCTTAACATCTAGCTCGAATTAGGTTCTAATTGATGGATTTTTTAATTTTTCCAAATTAATATTCTCAAAAACGAAACGGTTTTCTTTTCTCTTTTTTGTATTTAGTTTTTGTCGAAGTTTCGTGATTACTAATTCATGATCCGACCCACATTCTTCTCCGCGATAATGCCGTACATTAATTATACTGCTTTGCCAACTATGTTGTATCAAGACATGATCGATTTGATTTCGTGTTTGCGGATCCGGTGATGAAGTATATTTATGAATATCCTTATGTTTAAAAGTAGTACTTTTAATTATCAGGTTTTTCGAGATGGCAAAGTTTATCAGACGGATCCCATTATCATTACTATATTCGTGCAAACTTTCTTTACCAATCGTCGAAACATAAACTTCTTCCCTTCCCACCTTTGCGTTCGCGTCTCCTACAATTATTTTCATGGAGTTTCGCGGTGTTTTTATCATAAATCCATTCGAGTTTATCGTAAAATTCACATTTGATTTCATCATCACTGTCTTCGGTCGGACAATTTTTATTAATGCGATTTTAAACCAACGTCCCTGAAATATAGCTACCGAAATTTTATCACTAAAGAATTGTACGTCTGTCAAAGCGGATACCAATCTATTCCTTATTAGAAACCCGGTACCTAAACAATGATTCCCGCTTCCTCCGTACCAAATAGTGTACTTTCCTTCCCTCATCGAGCCCTCCCCTGGCCAGCGAACCTGTTGCAGAGCCACGAGTCCATCGGACTTAGCCGGGAGGAACTTCCAAGGCCATTTCCACCGACCATTCCTACATCCGCCACCCGTGAGACGTTCCCCATACGCGGCAATGAGCCCGCGAGAGGCATAAGAGCTATTCATAAACAAATATTTTTCGTGGTATAATATGTACAATGCGTGTTTTATTCTTATTTTCGGATTCAATTTCGACAAAATACTAGATTTTGTGAATACAATCTTACTTTCGATACCCGTCTGGTTTAGAAAACTATATGTATTTGGCATAAAGCTGTAGGATGAGTAAACTATCGAAACTAATAGTACTGACCTAAGGAGTAAAGTAGATTCAAATATTTTTTTTAAGAAGAAACAAAGTTGATATTTGTATTTCGCGCCTTAAAAAAACCTTAAATACAAATTTTCATACTAATCGAAAAATTAAATTTAATTGCTCAAATTGTATACTAAAATCTTCGTGTTTTTTTTCTTTTCTAAAATCATAAAAGTTGTGACAACTTTGACGTGGCACCATTTATTCACACGAAGGTTAGTATGCATTTAGTGTCCTATAGTATACAGGAAATGGCACAAACCAGACACCCGGAAATAAATTAGGCTTGGAGATAAGAAATAAAAACGTTTGGGAAGATTTTTTTTATTTATTCCTTATAAAGGCGTAAAATCTGAAGGTTATTGAAATGAATTTGAAGAGTAATAATTAAGCTTTCCAACGGTTGTAGTAACGTTGACTTCGGAGAAATTTCCAAAGAATTATGAATATTTTAGTAAACGGCATGAAAGAAAACCTCCCAGAAAATCAAGTCCTAAAATTTATATTTTTAAATTTCACAATAAACTTGTATTTAAGAGTTTTAGTAGACGCTAAAAACGAATCTCAATTGTTTTTTATGACAAAACTTTACTTGGCCTACTTTACTGGAAGCGTCTTTGGGTTTCTGTAATTTATTATCCATTAAAATACATTTAATACAATTGGCAATTTTGTTTTCTTATTTTACAAACACAAAAAACAAATGGATTGATATAAAATAAAAATAAGTTATAAATCCATGAAAGACCAAAGTCAGAGAACATTAAATTAAAAGAATAATAAAATTTTATAAAATATTGTTTTCTCGGCTCCTAGGGCGTATTAGCAAGAATCTTCGTACATATGTCAAATATTTTTCGACCTAGCATCACCAAAAAAAATTTCATTGAAATTGATGAGTCCACATCCGTATCCCCCGATTGTAAGACTAAAAGACAAATTTTCTAATAGTCTGGTAATTCTTATCTACTAAATAAAAAATAAATGATATAAAAATATAATTAAATTTGGCACAATATTCTGACATAGTAATGACATTAATTAAAACATACGAGCCAACTCATGTAGACAAAGTTCTGCGGGTTCTGCAGTTTTGTCCTGGATACTCCAGTGTAGGTCAACAAGGTGTAATTCAAAATCAGCCTTTTGAAGTGTCTGACGTAATTCAGGGTACACTTCATTGTGTAGAAGACTCTTTTCCACCTTACAATCTATAAAGCAACAAAATATATAAATAACAATCAAAGTTTTTACTTTTAAATACATGATATAACCAACAAAAAATGTTCTTACTTTAAAAATATAAATAGAAAATATTGTAATACAATTAAATAAAAACATTGCTTCTGTAAGACAAAGCCTTCGTATTTAAATTTAATTATTCACATTTATCAACATCAATCTTGAAAATAGAAAGTAATTGGTAAATAGGTAATTTAGTTTATAATTACAAAACATGTAACTCTTAATAACTAATTACCCTTTTCTCTTTCAAAACTAAAATATAATAGTATAGGAATGTATGTACCTAAGGCTTCGAGAGTCAGAGAAATAATATTTTATGTGAAATCTTAATGAATAATTAAAAATTATATTTTTTTACATAATAATTAGTCCAGTCAATGAATGCTCGAAAAGGGGATATAGAAGAAAATGCCAGAGACACAATTCTTGACTTTGTGGCATTGCTTGGATTAGTAAGGAGGCAAACATACAAAAAGTTCCCACTTCTAGGTGGTGAGCCACATGTGGGAGGCGCCGAGTAAGTAACTTTTTACCTCTGTGATGTTGGGCCCCATCCTTAATTTTTTTTAAAAATTTGAGAGTTCTTATAGCCCCCCCTAAGAGTTCTACAGTTCCCTATACTTTTTATAAATAGTTCTATTGTTTAAACCATCTAAAATACCACACAAAGTTGTGAAAAACGGAAATCTCGTTTTGTGCAACTTACGAGTCTTATAACTCTTTTAATATTAATTTTAGAGCTAAACTTCAAAGGGATAATTGTAAAAATTCTTTGGGGGGCTATCAAAACTCTAAAAAAAAAAATTAAATAAAGGCCCCCAAAAAAGCGCCCCCCTAAAGTAAAAATTTCTAAATTCGTTTTAGGGCTTTAATAGCCCGCCAAATAGTTACAGAGTTCTCTGGTATTTAAAAAAAAATGTCTATTGTTTAAACAACCGAGAATACCACGCAAAGTTACGAAAAACCGAAATCCCGTTTCGAGAAAAAGTTTTCGAGCATCAGAGTTGACCAAAACAAAAGATATAAAAAAAATATTTTCGATAATTTGATCCTCGAAAACTTTTTCGTTTCGCATCCTAGATTAAATCACAGCAGTAATTATCGGTGGTGCTCGCTGAAGAGCTAATAAAGCATCATTCAGAATAATTTTTTTCCATGATAAATTTTCACTTTTCGGACTTAGTAAACGTTCCATCACCATTTTGGTCGAAATTTTTTTTTGGATATCAGGAGTTCTGTTGAGTTTTCCTGTAGCTCTCCTAAGAGTTATAATAATTAAAATAATGAACCTTTGCCCTAAAGTTGACCAATAAAAAGATATAAGCCTTGCAATTTGTAAAAAAATATTTTCGATACTTTGAGTGGTATTTTTGTTGGTTTAAACAATAGAATTACTTTTTAAAATATTAGAGAACTCTAGATCTATTAGAGGAGCTATAAAAACTTAAAACATAATCAAGAAAATTTTACTTTGGGGGGCTTTTGGAGATGTAATTCATTGGTTTTTTTTAGAGTTTTGATAGCCCTCCAAGAAGGTTTCACAATTATCCTTATGATGTTTAGCTCTAAAATTAATATTAAAAGAGTTATAAGACTCGTAAGTTGCACAAAACGGGATTTCGGTTTTTCGTAACTTTGCGTGGTAGTTTCGGTTGTTTAAACAATAGAATTTTTTTTATAGATACCAGACAACTCTGTAACTATATGGGGAACTATTAAAACCCAAAAAAGAATTTAGAAATTTTCACTTTGAAGGGGGACGATTTTTTGGGGGCCTTTATTTAATTTTTTTTTAGAGTTTTGATAGCCCCCCAAAGAATTTTTACAATTATCCCTTTGAAGTTTAGCTCTAAAATTAATATTAAAAGAGTTATAAGACTCGTAAGTTGCACAAAACGAGATTTCCGTTTTTCACAACTTTGTGTGGTATTTTAGATGGTTTAAACAATAGAACTATTTATAAAAAGTATAGGGAACTCTAGAACTCTTAGGGTGGCTATAAGCACTCTCAAAATTCTTACAATCCACCGCTATTGTAATCAAAACCTTCTCCTTTCCGGTTACGCTTGCATCAGCGTATTGCCCTCGTAACCGATCCATATCTAATGCCCACTTCAGTTCTCTCCTCGAATTCTTAGGTTCATCACTTCATCTAGGGTACAGACTTAAATGCCAAACACCAGCAATGAGGTTCAAGAACCACTAATTATCGGGACCGAACATCACTTTCGAAACAGAATTATTAAGAAGAAATCAATATAAGTCAATTAATAATTACAGCCAAAGTATTTTACAAATTACAATATTTTTTCCAATAATATATATTGTTACAAATGCTTTTTAAAAAATATGTACGAAACAAAATTAGTAGAAACGTAGATGCTACTTATGGTAATGTACTATTGTATGTTAAAATAAAAATGTAAGAAGTTTCATGCACTCCTGTTTTTAGGATAATTAAGATTACCAAATTTTTGTGTTTATGGTTTTAAACATTTTAGAACTAGAATTATTTAATATTTTCGTAAATAAGTTCATTTTTAAATTAATGAAAGAGACAATTAAAATAAGATAATTATTTAAATAACAGGAGTTGCCATTTCTCCGTTCCTGATTTAACCGGCCTCCCCACTCCTTATCGATCGAGCTGGAACAGAATTGGAACTGGTCTGGAATGAATTGCCAACCGTTCCTCCCCACTCCATATCGATCCAGCTGGAACAAAATTGGAACGGGTCTGGAACGATTTGCCAACTGTCCCTCCCCACTCCTTATCGATCCAGCTGGAACAGATCTGGAACGATTTGCCAACTGTTCCTCCGTTCCTTATCGAACCGGCATTCCCACTCCTTATCAAACCGGCAGTATCGATAATTCTCAGTCGTTGGAACAGTTCCGTTCCACAGTGAGATTAAGTTCCATTGACCCATCCCTACTACTGGCCCACAGTTCCTAACCGTAATCCTGATATCCTCGATTTCTTCATCCACAGCGGCTTAGGTCTCCGCCATCGTTTAATAACACACCTATACAAACTTTCCTCTGCCCATTGTCTATCAATTCTTAATGTTTCCCTAGAAACCGAGTATGGCTTTTTAAGCTTTTGACCGGGTATGAAACGCCGGACTGCTCTTCAAGCTTAAATCCCATCTACCCCATTCCTTATACCTTATACTCTGATCCTATCTCTCTGACCGCTCCTTTCAAGTTCGCTGTGGTACAGAATCCTCCAAATGTCATTCAATCGAGGTGGGTGTTTCTAAAGCCAGCGTCTTGGGTCCAGTCATCTACATTCTGTTTACCGCTGATATTACTACTCATCCCGAAACCCTCCTGGCCACATTCGTTGATGACACAGCCATCTTATCTTCCAATCCAGATTCTGAAATAGCATCCTTAAACCTACAAAGTCACCTCTCTCTTATTGAACACTGGTCTAGTAAGTGGCGAATCCAAATAAATGAATCCAAATCCAAATGTATCACTTTTACCCTTCGACGCAATTCCTGTCCACCAGTCTACTTCAACTCCATACCACTTCCTCTGTCCGACACAATCCGCTATCTTGGCTTTATTCTAGATAAAAGACTAACATGGAACCCACAAACCAGAATTAAAAGACAAAAACTTAACAGAAGATACGGACAGCTATATAGACTATTGAATAGGAAATCTCAACATGACAACAAACTACAAATCTAGAAGACAATCCTAAAACCTATTTGGACCTACGGAATAGAATTGTGGGGGACAACAAAACTTTCTAACATCAAACGCATTCAACCCCTTCTATGTATCCAATAAAACCCTCCATAATGACCTTCATATCCCTTTTGTTCTTGACCTAATCCACGACAAATTTTCCTAATGTCACCAGAACCTCACTCATCATCCAAATCCAGTAGCACAACCCCTATCTAGCTCCAGCCATCCCTACAATCCTACCCGGAGGTTAAAACGGCAGAGCCCCGCGACCTTCTGTAAATATTTGTAAATATTTATATATTGGAGTTCTGGCAATGGCTAGATTCTCTATACAGGTCCTGAGCGTCTTTTGCTGTAGAGCCCCCCATCAGTTTCCACTGGTTTCTAATACCAGTGACGCGGCTGGGAGAGAAGCACTGGGATCTCCTGGAGTCCTGCCTTGGCTTTCACATTGTGGGACAAAGCATTACTCAGAGTCCCCTGGGTGAATGTAAATATTGCATATGGGTGTTAATGTATTTTATTTACTTTAATTTGATTTAGCTTTTATCTATTATTTCATTTTTTGTACACAGGCATATTAATTTACTTGTTTTATTTTTCTAAATTTCTTTTTCTTTATTATTTCTATCTTAGGTATTATTTGTATGTACATATTGTGTGAATGATTAATGTAGCCTTAATATTAATGCCCTATAATATGGCATTATGTATTAATATTCAATAAAAAAAAAAATCTAACTGACAGTTTAAGTTCCATAAAAAACTAGGCAATTAGAAGAGGAATCATTTTTGTTTCAATCAGTTCCACCTCTAACTGTACTTCACCAAAACTCAACCAAATGTAAACAATCTATTATAAAGGTTTGGAGATAATTCATCTACGTTTATACGAGTTGTTTCGGGATTTCACTTAAGTTGTGCTTTGAGTGATCTAAAACTAGCCAGCATCTTGGAGTAGTGCTTCTGAAGTAGTACCGAAATAAAACTACAGAACTGAAATTTCATTTCTCTTACCTTGTGAATCTGCTGCACAAACATAAATAACAATCTTCCTCTCTTTAGTAGCACTAATTTGTTCTTGAGCAAAAGATCTAGGACTCGAAACCCTTTCTAACTTGGATTTGGCTGGAGTTACATCTGTAATCATATTAATCATTGATCATTATCTACCAAAGGCAAATACAGAAAGTAAATAAAAAACTAACTTTAATTATTTTATATATATATATATATATATATATATATATACATATATATATATATACATTTAGTTACATCTTTAATTTCTATTTCAAATGGTCTAGAGTGTGTTTAGTATCGTTGTCAAGTAAAGTTCTTCTAATATCCTTTTATTATTATTTTAAAGATAACCTTAGCCACCCTTTCCATTTCTACAAGGTCGTACGCCTACTTGAAATCTATAAAAATGATGTGAATGTCAGTTGATAATATTTAACTATCTCACTTTACATCTGAAATATTGGCGGAAGAATAAAGTATTATGGCCGCAACTGCAGTATAACTTTTATGTCGTTCTGTGTTTGTTACTTTGTTATATGCTTAATAGTTAAAACCCTGTTGTAATACTTTATCAACAGTGACTTTATAAACAGTTGAACATTTTTACGTTCACGGATAGACAGGTGAGTAGCGATTTATTAATAAACATGTGATAAACGAGCACCTAGTGTGAGTAACCCAAGTAAGTGGCCGTTAATTCACTTGCCGTTCTTATCTTATTACGTTAACTTCACGGGAAGGTCTCTCTCTACTACCATAGCTCTCTCTCGTCAGCTGGTCTCAATTAGAAATCAAAGACTTATAGGTTGTTTGTTAGTTTGTTTTCTTCCAGAGACATTTTTGTATTAATAATTTATTTTTATTTTTCTCCGAAATGTTTTGTTTTATTTTTGTTTCTAAGTTTGTAAATACAGAGTGCTACCATTGGGTAGTTACTCAGCAAGTGTTTTCATGTCATTATATCCATTATGTTCAAATTTACTGGGTGTATTTATTTAATACACTTGTAAATATCATTAACAAATAGTAAAAAAATAAAAAAAAGTATGTAAATAACGTATTTTTTTTAAAGAATTTATTTTGTAAATATTTATTTTTGTAGTTGTAATATTTAGGAATATATATTTATATATATATATATATATATATATATATATATATATATATATATATATATATTATATATATATATATATATATATATATTGGTTGGATCTGGGTGGGACAACATCCGCGCTGGGCTATGCTGATGATCTGGTACTGTTAAGCGAAGATGTTGAAACTATAAAACTAAATACGACAACGTTAATGAAAGCCGGTAAAGAACTAGGACTCGAAATAAACGTGGATAAAACAAAATATATGGTTAGCTGCAAAAATGGCGATACTACTGGTGATATCGATATAGATGGTAATATGTTTGAACAGGTAGATAAATTTAGGTATCTAGGTTCTACGGTAACTAGAAAAAACGAAATTTAAGAAGAGATTAAGGTTAGACTGAAGGCGGGAAATGCTTGTTATTTTTCTGTGACAAAACTACTTAGTTCGCGCCTCTTGTCTCGAAACTTAAAAATTAGAATCTATAAAACAATTATCTTGCCTACAGTCCTTTATGGATGCGAAACTTGGCCGCTTACATTAAGGGATGAGTAGCGTCTTAAGGTTTTTGAAAATAAAGTATTGCGTAGAATATTCGGACCGAAGAAGGATGAGTTAACCGGAGAGTTCAGACGGTTACACAACGCCGAATTGCGTGAGCTGTATTCGGGTAATATAATTGAGGTAATTTCATCGCGGCGAATCAAATGGGCTTGTAAAGTTGTTGGGCTTAGTAACGAGAGAATTCCTAAAAGGTTAATATTTGCTATGCCGAATGGTAAGCGTCCGAGGGGTAGACCGAAGCGAAGGTGGGAAGATTGCATTAAAGCCGATCTGAAGGGACTGGGTTTGGACGGCGAACGGTGGAGGGAGTTGTGTAACAAGCGATTGGTGGTGTCGGCATCGAACCTTCGGGTTCGCTAAGCCTTATTATTATTATTATATATATATATATATATTTGCGGTTGGCGCTTCAGACCGTGCACATCTTTGACCACAAGATGTGGTCTCCTAGGCCACATCCCGATTCCTGATTTAAGAAGTATACGGGGAAGGGGAGGGGTAGGGCCATCAGTCCTACGCCCGGTCGGTATGAGTTGCCTCCAGTAGGCTGATGGGACCCACATACCTAGGGGAGGGGTCTCGGGCAGCGTGGCTTTCCCTGGTGGAAGGCCACCCGAATCAGGCGGTCACCCATCCAAGTGCTTACCACGCTTAGCGTGGCTTAACTTGGTTACCTATTGCAAGCGCCTTAGCCCGCATAGCTACCCCAGTCCCTCTCGCTCTCCCCCCTCCCTCTCTCTCTCTCTCTCTCTCTCTCTCTCTCTCTCTCTCTCTCTCTCTCTCTCTCTCTCTCTCTCTCTCTCTCTCCTCTCTCTCTCTCTCTCTCTCTCTCTCTCTCTCTCTCTCTCTCTCTCTCTCCCCCCCCCCTCTCCCCCTCTCTCCCTCTCTCCCTCTCTCCATCTCTCTCTCCCTCCCTTGATTGTTGTTGTTGCTTGATGACATCGCTATTATTTAGTTCAATATTAGCTGAATCCTTATATCTTCCTCTGTGGACATTAAGGGTTGCACATTTGTCTGTTCCTAACTTCATCCCTATATCTTCAGTGAATGAACTTACCAACTCAAGAAGAGTTCTCAGATCTCTCCCGTTCTTTGCATAGAGTTTTAAGTCATCCATAGTAAAAAAGAGTGAGAAATTGTTGTTTCCTGATTCAGGGAATAGCCTTTTCCAGATCTATTTAAAATAGAGCTTAGAGGATTAATTGCAAGGCAAAACCATAAAGGGCTTATCCCCCTGAAATATTCCTCTTTTTATGGGTATGTTCTCTGAGACGATGAGCTTCTTTTTAGTTGGATGTACCAATGATACTTCCCATAGCTTCATAAGTCGTTGCAATAGTTCTATTACCTTTTGATCGACTTTATAAATCCTGAGAACTTCAATCAACCCGTCATGAGGGACTGAGTCGAATGCTTTCTGATAGTCAATCCACGAAAAAGATATATTGCACGACTATTATTATTATTATTATTATTATTATTATCTTTTTTATTCTCGCCTTTGCGGATTTAAAGCTGAAGGTGGGGGGACAAGTCCAACCACCTGCAGTTATAATATTTTAGATATTTAAAAATTTTCTTGTTATTCTCGCTGTATCCAAGAGAACCGCTTGCTGAGCCTCTCTTAACACATCAAGGGGTAATTCCAAGCCGTCCGTACCTGCCACCGTTGACTTTGGGATCAGACCATTGGTTGATATTATTATTATCATTAATATGAAAAATATGAGTTTGGACAAGCACTCTTCATGCAAAGACATTTTCAGAAGTCAGCGAAACTCTGCCCCTGGGTCAGCGGGCAACTCACCCAATAAGAAAAAAAAAATTGTCAGCCGAGCAAAATAAATCACCACCCAAGACTAGAAGCCAATTAAATACCACAAAACCAGCACCAACTGCACCAAGTACCACAGCCAGCAAAAATTCTGTTCCTGTTAGTAACTCATCTAACAAGCCTCCGGAGCCTCAAGATTTTACTGACCCCTAGCCGCCACCTATTTCTGTTTCCAAAATTGATAATTTCATATCAATCCGTCAAGAAATTTCCGATCTGATATGACGTACAAATATTCGTTGTTTCTACAGGGTAAATGACATCAATATCAACACAAACTCAAGAGATAATTATAAAACACTAATCAACTACTTTTCATCTAAAAACTGTGATTTTCACTGTTATCAGTTGAGACAAGAAAATGCATATAGAGTGGTCTTAAGATGCCTACACTCAACCACCCGTATATCCGTTATCAAGTCCGGCCTGGAAGGAATTTAGCTTGTTCGGATCAACTGGACATTGTGTGCAGGTTTTAAGGTAACAACAGAGAGGTTCTTAAGGATTGCCCGTTTGGATTTAGTATTGGGTTCATAGGATAAAACCTTATTGAAGTATTGGGCTTTGGTGCGGTGCAGGGACATTTGTGTGAGATTTCGTAGGGATTTAAATATAGTATAATACTGAGGCAGTCGAGTACGTCTGCAACGTCTTCTGGCAGCCTCTCTTCTCTTCATTAGTTCTCTTATATCTGTATTAATCCAAGCAGCAGTAGGACGTCTAAAGATACGTGTTTTTAGAGGTGCGTGATGATTGTGGAAATGGAGGAGGTTGGAGGAAATGCATTCAACCATGCCATCGATGGAGGGGAGAGAATAAATGGACTCTAAGGAAGCGAAAATAGAATCTAGAAAAGGACTGATGTTTTCGGTGTTTAAGGAATCAAGATCTCTCCAGGAAATTTGTTTGGATATAGGTGTGGGAGTGGAGACGTATGATATTTCAATAAGATCGTGAGATAAAAGGAAAGAAACTGGAATTTGGGTAAAGGATAATAGGTTATTAGGGAAATCAATAGTAAATAAGTTTAGCAAAGTGTGGTGGACTGAGTATAATGGGTGGGTTAAAAGGAAACAATAAATAGGTCTTCGGAAAAACTAGGTCAATAAGATATGTTTTGTCCAGAGAATTTGAAAGCAGGTCGATATTGAGATCAATTGCAATAATAACTTTTTCAAAGAGTGGAAAATATGTAAGGAGGTAGTATTCAGAAGTGGCATCAAATCGGACACAAGGAGGGCTGTACAAGATTTGAATCTTTGTTATTAATTTGAGAAGAAGAAGCCCACGGGCTTTGAGAATCATCGATCAGTTCCTCCAAATCATGAATTTGAAAGTTTACGAAATAAATATAATATTTTACTTTTAATAGTAAACGAAAAAAGTTGAGTAGATATTATTGACTTAGGTTATTTTATTTTTTTTATTGTACATAGTTTTTATTTATTATTATTTAATTAATATTTTACTTTTGTTAATTTTATATTTTTTGTATATATGGTATGAATGTGATCATTTATCACTATAAGTATTGTCCTCGAGACAGAATATTATATGTCTAAATAAATAAATTAAAAAAAAAAGATATTATTGAATACCACTTTCAATAGATCTATATAGTCCATGATCGATAATAGAAGAGACGTTGTAATAACTTCTTAACTTAACCAAATCCGAACACATCATAACAAGTTTCCGATCTGAACAATATAGTTTAAAATATAATGATCCAGAAAGCGAGAAGTTTGCGTTAAAAATATGAATCTAAAAGTAAGTTGAAAAATATTTTCATGAAATTCTTCATACAATTATACATAATTATCTGTGTCCTTCCTGTCCCTTTTATGAAAAAGTAAATAAAGTTTTGGTCTGGACCTGAGATAATCAGGATACAAATAATTATAGAGGAGCATCTTTCCTAAATACAATGATAAAGTTATTTACCGGTATTCTGGCAAAAAATCAAACAAGTCTGCAAATAGCACATCTTTACTTTAATGGCACTGGTTGGTATTAAGTTCAGAACCGAAAGTAGTTACCGTATATGCCGCACTCATAGACTTTAGGAAAGCCTTTGACTTCATGAACCACAACCTGCTATAGTAAAAGCTATTTTCGATCGGACTTTGAAGAAAAGTCATAAAGATTATTAAGGTACTGTAATACAATGCAACTCAAATAACTATGAAAGGAAAATTTTTGGAAAACCCAGATATAACGTCAGACCTGTTATAATGAAGCCACAAGCGTCAGCATTGATAACACATATAAGGCAATAATGCTGTTACTAGCAGGTAGCATTATTCTACTCCGAAATACTTGGCAAGAAACGCAAGAGAAACTTAACTTCCAACAACAGTACTGCGAAAATTCCCTGACTGTAAACATGGAAAAATCAAAGGTTGAGGTATTTCATAAATCACCTGGGCTAAAGCAATTTAAGTCACTTTACTTCCATATGGAAAAGTTGGAATACACTAAGGTCAACACTTATTTGAGAGTACTTTTCATTTCCTCAAGAAGACTTAGCAAAGCATATGAGCATTTTATTTAGAAGTCCTTTGTTGCAAAGGCAAGAGTATCATGGGAATCAAAAACAGCTCCTTTTGATACTATGGTATCTTCAACCCTGCTGTATGCTTCTGAAATATGGAGCTAATAATATGATATCTAGAAGCTACTGGGGAGTTCTGCGCATGCATTAGCCCTAGTTAAACATACCTCAGGTCGTCTCTTAAAAAATCTCAATTATCAGTGGCAGTATACAAGTTTGATGTGAACAATTAGTGTTATCAGTTACATTAACAATTACGTTTGATACTGGGCAAAAAAATAAGGTGAGTAATCACTTATTTACAACACAAGAGTGAACAGTGTAAGTAGACCTTAGGTTAGTTAGATAACGGCCAGTCATATACATCGTTAATCTGACTAGTGGGCTGGAGCCCTTCGTCGGAAGCAGACCTGCGCTCTCCAAGCGCGCGTCTATATTTTCGTCTTCAATAAAAATATTTTTTTTTCATCGCCTCACTTTTAACAATTTTTCTTTTAAAAAATTAATATGAAATGCGATATTATCACATGCTAATGTCGAGTAAGGGCAAAAACACTAGGTCCAGGAGCCTCGATACTACAATGAGTTCTCCCATTAAAAAAAAGACAAGGCATTCGAAAAGAAACACTCCACCAGCCACACCAGGGAGCTCCATAGAAGAAGTGGAACCCCAACCTGGCTCCTCACAACAACCTAACAATTATGAGACAACTCAAGCTATGGACGAAGTAATCGCCGTTTTTCACTTCGAATCCATTTGAAGTGCTTTCAAATATACATATCGAACAAATGGAAGCAGCATCCACCCCCAGAGAACCTAAACCCCCACCAATATTTGTTAGAAATATTAAAAAATTTCAATTGATGTGTCATAAATTGAATAATCTAGTAGGTTCAGGAAAATATTTATGCCAAAGCCGCACCAATGACACTAAATTAATGCTCGACACTCCAGAAACTTACAGAAAAATTATAAAATATTTATCTGACACCAAGGCTGCTTACCACACGTATAAACTGCGTCAAGAGAGGGCGCTCAGGGTCGTTATCAGAAGACTGCACCCATCTACGCCAACAGATGCTATAAAAGAAGAGCTCATGGGTAAGGGATTCCATGTTCGCCAGATAGTGAACATATTCAAGGAGGATAAAGAACAGCCTGGAATAAAAAATAAAATACCTCTTCCACTATTCTTCGTTGACCTTGACCGAACACCCGATGTCGAAAACATCTACAAGGTCACACGCCTTTATTATACAAGCGTTGTTGTAGAAAAGCCCTACAGCAAGCGCGACATCGTTCAATGCCAGGCTTATCGCCATACGAAACGGTATTGTCATCACATTCCTAGATGTGTGAGGTGTGGTGAGCAGCACAAAACAGAGGACTGTAGGAAGTCAAGAACTTCACCTGCAGTATGCGCTTTATGCCACCAAGGACACCCAGCCAACTACAAGGGTTGTCAAACATACAAAAATTTAAAAACACGAATGTACGCAACGCCTAGAGAAGAAGGGCCATCCAGACCACCAAGACAACCCTCTAGAACAGTGAACGGAAGAGTGTCCTATGCTCAGATGTTCAAAGGAGACACTGTAAACACTCAATCTCAGGCCCTGCCACAAGAACCTAAACCTCAAGAATTCACACATCAGCCTCAAGACCCATATCCCTCCATCCCCGAACGTAGGTTAAATACTCATACATTCATTCCTCCTCCTTCCAATTCCACTGACCTCACAAGCCTACTGACATCTTTCCTTTCCGAATTTAGATCTCTTATTACCCCTCTTATTTCGCTACTTACCAATGTTATATCCAACCTCATTCCACTGCCATGAAATCCATAAATGTCCTCAACCAAATTCCTCTCCATTCTCCTTTGGAATGCGAATGGTATTCGGAACCACATCAACGAACTGACAATCTTATTACATGACAAAAACATCGACATAGCACTAATAACTGAAACTCGACTAACCAACAAACGACAAATCAACGTTCCCGGTTACAATATTTATCGAACCGAACATCCTGATGGAACAGCACATGGTGGCACTGCCATAATTATCCATAGATCCGTTTCCCTTACCAAGCCATAATTTCCTACAACCTACAGCCGTAATAATCCAAACACCCCTTTACCCAATAACACTAGTTGCGGCATATTCCCCGCCTAAAACACCCATTTCCGAATCCCAAATAATTTCCTTCCTGAATTCCTTAGGACACCACTTCCTCCTAGGTGCAGATCTAAATGCAAAACATCAGCAATGGGGAGCCAGATCCACAAATTCCCGAGGGCGAACATTGCTATCTGCACTTAATTCCCATCGCAGAAACATCCTTTCACCTAATACTCCCACATACTGGCCAACTGATCCCAACCTTTTAGACTTTTTCCTACACAAAGGTCTAGGATCACTACACTGCTCCATTTCAAGGTTTGATGATCTTTCCTCAGACCATAGTCCTCTAGTCCTAACCGTTTCCACATCTCCCATTCCCAAATCATCCTCACCTTCATTTATCAGGGGGCCAGTTAACTGGAACCTTTTCCGTCAAATACTGGAAGATAATATAGACCTCAGAGTTTCAAGGATACTTATTGGCCAGTTCAGTAAATTGTTTTTCTTTTTATCCTTTTTTTATTATGAATTCATTTATCATGCAGGTACATATTAATTAAACAATAAAATGTTTAATTATAGTAAAACTATTAAGTACTAATAATTTACAGTTATTGTTTTTCTAATGAGTCGAGTAAATGGACAGTTATGAAAAACTAGCTACGTGTTGGTGAAATAAAATTATTTATAATTGTTTAATAAAGTGGTAACTGAACCAACAGTGTTCCCTGCACATTCGCGAATCCTAAGAACCAATTGAAACAGATTTTACATTATCATTTACCGCCAAGATTTAAAGGGGTTATATGGTACCAGTAGGATTTCATATTATCGCTACTTTTCTCGTTGCCTAATCATCAACCGTAAATAAACTCAAAGCACGGCTTATATTTTGCTTTCCACCAGCAAGACATTTATTTAATAATTTATATTTCATTAATAAAAACTGTACATAATCATATATGACAATAACTTATGAATCTATTTAAAATAATATAATGATAAAAAGCTTTAGTTTACCTAGTATACTGGCAGGTACAGGTGCTGATAACATAGGCTGCTTGGGATTTACAGTCTCAGGATAGGTAGTAGCAACAGACAGAACAACTCCAGCTTGAACTCTCGACTTTTTTTCTTCTTCCTTCTTATCCTCATATTTGTTGTCTGTAGTCACCTGATAGCTAGGAGACCTGTAATAATACTAGCTAGTTTATATTAACACATTTATGGTTTAAAAAGTCTCATTAACTAGTTGACAACTATTGTTATCATTAACACATTGATTCCAAAGCTAGAATTAAAAATGAATTAACACAATCGTTTCATCATACATCATTTAGAACTATTATCATACCAATCTTATAAATAAAATAATGTTTTGCGGGTAAATACCTCAAAATCGAGGAATATTAGTTACGTTCGAGAAACCTCAGTATTAATTTTGGATAATTATCATTCTGTCACTTTTAAAGGTTTCAGCACTAATTGGGAGAAAAAAGTTATAAAGAAGTTTCTACAAAATTGTAGGGATCTGTGCCAACACTGGTCAGATGAGAAAGGTTTTCTACTGTTTTATTAAGACTAATGCGGAGCGGAGATCTTACTGAAGATTGGTTATTTATCAGTCTTTACGTCAAGGGCGCACAATCTCGGTCTACAAAGGAAAAAGAAATGCCAACAGCATATCAGCATGAAGACCTATCATCATCTATTCGATTGTGCAACGAATTATTGAGAAGGTTCTGGACCATGAACTAAGAAAACAGATCACCTTCATCAAAAATCAGAGGGGCTTCATCAGGGGCCTTCTGGGAGCACATGTGAGCGCAAGAATCATCGACGCGGTCATAAAAGATGCCAAGAACAGAAAGAATGATTACGCGGTGGTGTTTTTAGATGTCGTCGGCGCTTATGATAACGTTGGTCACGATCATGTAATCAGCTCACTAGAGGCAAAAAGAGTGTCAACGGACCTAAAAAATGTGATTGCAGCTCTCCTAGGGTAAAACCAAATCAAGATTGGAATCAGGGCCCACTCGACTAGCTGGATGAAAGTGCGGCGAGGATTACCCCAAGACGGACCCTTGTTGCCCTCGGTGTTCAACATGGCTAAAGATACCTGTACCGCGACCTGTGTGAACAAGAATTTTCCGACCGCTATGAATATAAACTAATCAGTGACCAAAAATTTGAGGTTCTCGCAGGCTTCGCGGGCGACCAGGCTGCGACAACGATGCTGCAGAGAGGATTGTCAACGGTGTGCAGAGGATCCTTGCCGAGATTGGTCTAGCTATAAATTCCCAGAAAACCGTGGTTCTTCTAATCGATAAAGGAGAGCAGCACGCAACAAAGCTCTCCCTATAGAACGGAGAAATTATTGAATCAACAAAGACTGGTGATATTATAGAGTATTCAGGATGCACATTCTCGGGAGAGCTAGTACTAAATGAAGAAATGGTGACCAAATTGAACAATAACTTAAATAAATTGGTTAGCTCTTGCCTTCTTAAACCGGAGCAGAATATCAACATTGACAACTATTACGTGTGTGCGATATTCGAGAGAATCGACACCAATATCCGCAGGAGTATCAAGGCCATCATCGGGCTCCTTGCTAATATATCAACAGGAATGTTGTATGCACTGAGGAGGAATCGCGGATTGGGACTGATCCGCTGTCAATGGGAAGTTCCTTTACAGCATTAGTCCATTGCCCAGCAGCTGTCTAATGCACCGGATACCCTGTTCCAGTTCACATATGAATATAATGCAGAAATCGCAGAATGTGCAGAAAGGTGGATCAGGGACACCGAGGCTTGAGAGCTACGACAGTTGCAAGAGAAAATTCTTTCGAAGAATGGATCAGCTGCAGGTGGCAAGGTGTTGCAGCAACCCTAAAACCCAATAGATACATATGTATAGAAACAAGTACTTTCGGGGTCAGAATGGATGTTTGGGAGCTTGCGATGTAGCCCAAGAATATTATCCTGGACTCCCTGAGAATCATGCGCTATCCCTTATATAGCAATATACCGTGAATTGAGGATGCCTTTTATCATTTATTTATTCAATTTTATATTTTTAGCTTTGCCTTACATTTTTGTCTATATATTACATTTTTGTCGTGGAATTACTTTGATATTACTTTGATATAAACCTGCTGCTTGAATTTCGAAAAAATCAAGCAAAGAACTTCGCCAGGACCAGGAGGTAAAAAAAACTCAACGTGCCTGTGGGACCGGGGTCCTTATCACTGTGCAGAACAGGACTTGTCGGCCCCCTCCACCTCTCAGCGGCCGCCTCCATCCAGCAAGGTCAGTGGCGTCTTATCAATACCAACAGCTGTCACCGAAAGAGCCCAACCTATTTTGTTAACCTTATCCATTGTTTCATTGATTTTCTATATTCTCTCTCTGCTCTCTTATTTAGGGAAAAAAATTATATATATATATACATATCAGCTTTATCAATTGATTTATTTATTAAATTTTATTTATTATTTATTCAGTGGACGTGGGTATGTTTTTTTTAAAAGTTTATTTAATTTTTTTTTTAACAGTATATTTTAAATTGTTTTTATTCATTAACTCATTTATTAATTTATTATTATTTAAATAAGATTTTATTGATTGTATATTTTAACTTGTTCTCAATTGTTAACGTATTTATTAATCTTTTATTTTTTATTCAGATTATATTAATTGTATATTTTAATTTGTTTTTAAAAAAATTGATTTTATAGATTTTAACTTTTTACCATTACTTATTTGATATATTTTAACTTAATTTTAAGCAATTGATTTGTATATTTTAACTTCATTTTATATCTTAGCTTAGTTTTAAGATTAAATTTAACTTTTAACAGTATAACTTGGTTTCTATTGATTTTAAATTTTAGATTATTTTACCATTATTTGTTTGATATACTTTAACTTGATTTTGTGCAATAGATTCTATAGATTTTAACCTATTAATTAACTTTTTTTTTTATTATAACTTGGATTCTCTCGATTTTATATTTTAAGTTATTTTTAAGCAATTGATTTTATAGATCTCAATTGTTTTTTAGCTTTATACATTTTACATTTTAGCTCTTTTTAAACATATTTATCTAATACTTAAGTGTTAATGTTGGCATATATGCATGTCTCTCTCGTTTAGTTTTTATTTATTTATTTTTATTTATATATTAATTCTCCTTAAAATAATTTATTGTAATCATGCGTGTGGTATACATGGCCTCGAATAAATAGATTGTATTTTGAATGGACCTAAAAATAATGAGAAAAATCGAAATTGGCCAGAAAGTATGGGTTCCGAGGACAGAAGGACCTGCTCAGGAGGCTGTTGTTGCCTCTGTGATGTCTGTGGATGCCGCGGAAGGCGGCCAAAAGAAAATTGTAAGAGTCGAATGGCCAGACACAGAAGGTGTACTATTGGGAAAGACACTTTCGATAGATGATGTCTTCCCAGCATTCCCAAATGTTCCACAGAATGTCGCAGGGGCGAGCGGGGAGCATGGGGAGGAAGTTCTACGCAATAATAATAAAGTTTGTCCCATATGTGGGCTTTCTTTTAAGGGTGAAAGAGGTCTTGGAACCCATATTGCGAAAAAGCACCCCAGGGAGGCTAACACCAATACACTGAGGGGCATAGTAAAAAATGTTATAGGTCCAAAAAATGGAGAGGGTGAGGTATCAAAAATAAAAGAGGACATTATTGGATGGTCTACCGTGTTCAAGAATCTCTTAAAAGAAAACACAATGAATATTGCGGATTTTGATGAGGCCGTAGGCAAGTTCCTGAATTTTCTCAAGAATATCAATGCGGAACTGCCAGGTCCCCAGCACCCAGCCGTTAAATTTTACAGGATGAGAAAAAAAAATAAAACTAAAGTGGCTGATAAGGGTGCTGGACAAGTCTCAAATCCGCAAAGAGCGAACAAGGTAGACAGGAGTCGTCGGCAGGAGCAGTATCAATACGAAGTTGCACAGTACAATTATTACAATAAAAGAAAAAAAGTTGTGCAAACTGTTATGAATGCCGATGCTCCTAAGAGGTGTCCTATAAAGATGGCTGATATCGAGAAATATTATAAAGACCTCTTTGAGAGCGAAAATCTCTGCAGGCGTGCGGATTACGAGCAGTGTGCCCCGATGCCAAATTTAGTGTCCATTGATGTAGAAACCGTCAAGAAAGCCATTAAATCAACATCAATGGACACATCGCCGGGGCCTGATGGAGTTCTGATCCGCACGATTAAATATTTTGATGTTGCAAATATTATTAGAACAATTGCAGAGATAATGCTGAAGGTGGCCTATGTCCCAGAACCACTTCGACAAGGGCGCACAGTACTAATATATAAGGGGAAAGGTGATGTAAACAAAATCCCTTCCTGGAGACCCATCACCATTTATTCTATTGTGCGCCGAATCATAGAGAAGGTTCTGGACCACGAATTAAGAAAACAGGTCACCTTCCACAGGAATCAAAGAGGCTTTATAAAAGGCCTCCCGGGAACGCACGTCAACGCAAGGATTATCGACGCTGTATTGAAAGATGCAAAGACTATGAAAAAAGATTGTGCGGTGGTATTCCTTGACGTTGTCGGTGCTTTTGACAATGTTGGCCACAATCATATCGTGAGCTCCTTGGAAGCAAGAGGTGTGTCGCCGGATCTTCAACACGTTATATCGGCTCTCCTCTGCACGAACACGATCAAAATTAGTAACGGTGTTCACGCAACTAGCCAAATCAAAGTGCTGCGCGGGGTACCCCAAGGCGGCCCCTTGTCGTCGTCGCTCTTCAACCTGGCCATTGACCATCTCTATCGCGACCTGTGCGATGAAGAATTTTCCAAAAAATTTGGATACAAGTTAAAAAGTGACCAAGGTTGTGTGGTCCTCACAGGTTTCGCGGATGACCAGGCCGTGTCAGCGCGTGACAAGGGGGCTGCAGAAAGAGTGATCGGCAGCGTTCAGAGGACCTTTGAGGGAATTGGTTTGGCTATTAATCCTCAAAAAAGCGTGGGCATCGTTCTAAATAAAGGAGAGCTGGAAACCGCGATGCTCTCCCTTGAGAACGGAGAGTACATCCAAACAATGCAGAATGGAGATACAATCAAGTATTTAGGATGTACATTCTCGGGAGAGCTACAGTTCAACGAAGATTCGGTGACCAAACTGA